CAAGATTCTCATCTCACCACCATTCACTTCCCCCTCATACACTCCTTCCCCTTCGTATCCCCAATTTTCTATTACGATGAGTCAGGAAATTATGATAAGCTTGAATAAATATTTAATAATAAATGAACAAATATATTATGGAACAACATTGCTTATGATACTCCATGGAATACTTAAACTATACAGAAGTTAGTTTTAGTTGCACATCTGCGGAATATTTGTACAAACATATAGAGTTTTCCATGTGGAAGCAGTTTTAAAATACCCTAAGTTGCAGAAGGAAATATAAAATAACATAAGGTATTACAGCATATGTACAAGTATCAAAATTATTAAAAAATATTTTCAATGTGATAGTTTACACAGCTTTTAATTTATACATGCATAACGTGTATTAATATAATACTGTGGTAAGTCTATAGTCTTCGTATGTAAATGATCATGCATGTAAAACTGACAGTAATCCAAGTTGCGAGAAACAGAGGTATATTCTGGTACTACCTCTTTTTAGGTAACTAAGTTTTCACACTAATATCACAAATATCTGGGCAATCACTTCTGAACAAAAGCACAAAGCTTCACTTTCAAATGTTCCTTCAACAACACGAGTCAAGTTTAGGCTTACAACTTTCAGTTTACAGTACTTTGTATGAGAAAGCACTGAAACTTTGCCATTTGTTTTACTGTATACATATGATATCATTACTACAAGACAGCATGATTCTGTATTTATAAAATACATAAAACGGTAACACAGAATGAGAAAATGTTTTCAACTATTTAAAGCACTACTCAAACAGGTGCACAAAGTACTCTTTTAAAATACAAAACACAAGCAGCACTGACAACATTTAAAAATCATCCATTTTCAATAATTAATTTTAATATCATTTTATATACACAATAACATAAAAACAACTCTTAATGTAAATCTAAAGATCCAATTAAAAATTCACAATGATACATGCACTCAAGATACTTTCTATTAATTTCTTAAAAATATAAGTACACATAGAAAATGACTCTTGTAAAATACTATAAAAATCAATACTTATGTCAATGACATACCACAAGGTTTCATATAATGCATAGATTCTAGATGATTTACTGGATTCACAAATTCAATATTGTTACAGAACTGATACTCTAAAATGTGTATATGTAAAAGCTGTGGCTGCTACCATAACAACCAATGTCTAATGGCAAATAGTTGCTTCTAAACAAAGTTACATTAAATTAAAATCAATGTTGTGCTTTCAGACTATATAGAAATGTTTTTGGTATAGAATCTTCACTTGGTAATTGAAAACTTTGTGGTGATGCTAACATATATAAAGTTAAAACCTGATTGTTATATAATATAAGTGAAGCTATTTAAGTTTGCATTATACACTAAAATTGGTTTATAACACTTTTTTTTACTTCAAACCTGGAGATTTATTAAAGTTCAAAAAAGAATATCTACACTGGGTGGAGGAGTTGGTGTTTGATAGAATACTGTTTATTTGTTTTTATGGCAAAGCTACCAGGGCTATGTGCTGCCATCCCTAATCTTGAACTGCTGATCAGAGGGAAGACAACTCGCTGACAACACCCACCACCAATGCTTGGGCTACTTTTTATAAATGAATAATGTGATTGGCTGTCACATTATAGTGTCCCCCAAGGCTGAAAGGGGGAGCATGTTCGGCATTGGGTTTTGATCTCGTGACCAGCAGATTGCCAATCATGTGCCCTAATCACCACCGAGCTGCTAGATACTAAAATAAAATACTGTTAGACTATTTAGTGGAACTTTATAAATCGCAAAGCCTCAACCTGAATCAAGTCTGTATCATTACATCCATAGTTTAGCAATGCTTTTGCACTGTTATACCAAACTTCTGTATGTATGCATAAACAAGTACAGTTTTGCTTTGACTTTGTTAACCTTATGTCTTTTGTCACTGCAATGTCATTATGTACACATCCCCTCCTTCTTCAAAGGTAATTTGTTTGTTTGTGTTAGAGCAAAGTCATATTGAGCTATCTGCTGTGTCCATAGTGGAAAATCGAACCCTAGATTTTAGTGTTGTAAGTCTGTAAATTTACCGCTGTCTTACTGGGAACTCAAAAGTAATACGTACAACAATAATTTATTATCACCTTTGATATCACGCATATTACTGGAAGTGTTATGTGTGAGAACAACTAGGGCTTCTTAAATGATAACTCTTCGAATGTTATGTTGTTTATTATACAGAGTCGCAACTGTTTACAATGAACTGCAATATGAATTTCTAAATGCAACGATCTTTTATACTACTTTTTGAATAAAAGTTTAGAATTGGTTATTTTAAATGTGGAAAATCATAGTCAATTGGATTGCCCCCCCCCCTTTACCTATATGTTTTTTAAATTATAGTGATAAATACAATAATCACCATTTATAAATGCATTAATATCCTATGAGTTTTCTATAAATTTAACTTGATTTTCCAATTTTCAGTGGATTTGCTATTGAAATATAACAGGGTTTGGAACCATTTATAAATATTCCTATATTCTGGACTATTGTTACAGTTTTTGTAGCCTTATTATTCTATGTTTTTACTGCAATTACTTCTTTACAAATGTATGTATTATATGAAATAAAATCTTTTTAAAAAACATCCTCATCACTACTATCTACAGAGAGCCTGCATTGTTGGTGAAGCATTGAAAGAAATCACACCACACATACACTTGTATATAAAGAAAAAGTGGGCATAACAAAAATAATATATAATATACTGTATAATACATCTTGAAGCAAAACCCTTACATCATTTAAACTCTTTTGTTTCAGACTTGGAAATTAAAGTTCAATAGGATACCTGCAGTGTAGTGTTGCTAGGCTATTAAAACAAATTACTGTTAATCCACTGCTAGTTAGACTCAAGAGCAAACACCATCCACCTATTATTTTTTTGAAATTATGTATGCAAGCACAAACAAGTACCATATGCTAACCTTGTGTGTTCTGTCTTTGCAATGTCAATAAATAAGCAAACTTTTTTCCTTACTTTAGAAGTCATATGAACCACACATAACATCTTTAGCTGATGACAGCATTAGGCCAGTTGTTAATTTCAACTGTTTGAATGTGACACACTTTGTAATCCAGTCATGACTGTTTACAGAACCATTAGGATCACCTAATGCCCTCCTTTTCCCTAAGTTCATAGTGGAATATGGCTGCAGAAATTGTAATAAGTCTTCAAAATGTGTATCTAGCTCTATAATTAATCTAATTTTACTAAATATTACTATGATTACGTGAAAAGCTAAAAAAAAAGAATAACACATTAAATACAATAAATGTTGATAGAAACATTAAAACTATATACGGCTCAAAAACTTTTACCATCTTCATTCAGAAAAAAATTCAAATAACACACTAGTGCACTTGTAAATCACCTTTAAACTCTAACAATTATGGAGTACTTCTTCAGGATGGAGAGGGGGGCATCCTATATTTATTAATTTTGTGAATTTGTCTACAAACTCCTCTGACAGATTTGAAGCTAGCTGGGCCAAACTTGGCAGGCAGACTCTAGATGGTCCTAGATGTGTCCTTATCTATATGGCATAGTACTCTATGAAGAGGACTGAAAGGTACTTGATATCGATGTTCATATCCAAATCAAAGCTAGCAGGACCACAAATGCTCAGGTAGCATGGTCTAGTGTCTTATCGATTTAACTCTGATAATTGTGAGTAACCCTTTGAGACAGAGAAATATTATCTAAAAAGCACATATGAGGTTGATCTACAATCTTATGTTATTATGTAACTACATAAGTATGTAACTAAAAAGTATGTTAGTGAAAAATCGTGTTTAGTTGGAAAACACATTAGAGGATCATGTCAATGTATTTTTATTGCAAAAATAATTCTGGTATATAAAGGGAAGGCTCTTGAAAGAACAAAGAAAGATAATAAAGGTGTACCAGTTCATATATTTTAGTTACTATAAAAATAGCGTGAATTTCTAGAGTGGCATAAGCTTTATCTAGCGAACTTAGTTTATCATCAAACAAAAAATATTACACAGAACTGTTCTAATGGCATATGCTTTATGATCCTCATCAGCAACCATTATTCTAGATCAGTGAGGTTGCTAATGAGTATTGTAAAAGCCATGATGGGAGATTTAAGCTCTATATGTGAGTTCTGGTTGCCCAGTCAGTAGAGTATTGGCTTTAGAGGAGCGATATGAACTTAATAGTCCTGAGTCCAAACCCCATCAACATAATTTTCTTAGCACCACTATACATTATAATGGCACCTTATTGATAATGATAAGGCCATGTATACCAAAGAACTGATTGAAATGAACCTTAGATAACTTATAAGAGCATATAAGTAATATAAATGTGCATTTTGTGGATAAACATAAAATCCAGATAAAGAAATATGTCAACATAACTCAACAGGCTCTGAGAAACACCACAAAGACTGGCTTCTGACACGTGGTGATTAGCTGCCAACAAAAGAAAATATTATAAAATATTACAATAGAACAGGTCACTAGAGATTAAAAAGTAAGCCTTTCACAGGATAAGAACAAAATATTGTGTCCCCATCTACAAATTTACTATAAGCCAGAAATGCAGGTAGCTGGAAAACAGAAATATATATATATATATATATATATATATATATATATTCAGCTCACCATATTCTAGTAAATACTACTATTAAATCAATTATTTAAATATGCACTCAATATTACAAGGTCCAACCAGTGGTTGAAAAATGTCAAAGTTTAATATTCATCACCGAGTTGCTGACAGGGAATACTTTTTATGGTGTAAAGTAAGATCACTCCTAGAGGGAAGTATTAATGTAACCTTACTTTTAAGTATTTATATTAGACAAAACAAAAGGGTACTACAATGTATGATTATTCACACTTTAAGGCTATATATGTAAAATACAGTTGTATAAATACATGAAGTATAGGAACCTATGGTTACCTAATGTAAATCTTCTTCAGGGCCACACCAGCATTAACACAGCTTTTTGTTATGTTTAAGGTTTCAAGAACTTCTTCCCATTTGTGATTGTCATTGACCTGCAAAAGGTTTATTACAAAACAATTTTATTATGTACAATTAAGTTTTATTCATCAAAATGTAAATTAAGCTAAATTTAATCTTAGTCACTTATATAGTTTCAGTAATACACGTGTGTCACTTCTCTGGTTTGATGATGAAAGAATTATGACACTTTTGTGTTTGGGGAAACAGAAAAAAGAGAGTTGCACAGATTATCAACTCCTGAGTTGATGGCAACTTATCTACAAATTAGCTTAGTGGTAGAAAGCAAATAAAGAGTGGTGATAAACTGGAGAATATAACCAATGAAGTTTCTCAGTGTCTGTTTTAGTAACTCTGCTGTTCATTTTTCTTACTTATGATATGAATGATAATACTGAATATTGAAAAGGTACGATTCCCTACAAAAAACTTCTTTTATCCAAAGCAAACTGGATAGTCTTATTGAATAGCCAAAATCATGCAAAAATGAATTTTAACATTGAGAAGTGTAAAGGCATACACTTAAACTATGAAAATTTGGATAGCCTTTATTTAATTTGCTAGAAGAGTATTATTTTTGTGGATAAATACTTAGGTGTGATTATCAATAATACCCAGAGGCCATGTTGAGTGTATAATTATGATTTAAAAAAAAAGCCAAGTAGCGTTCTTTAATATGTTTATATCAATATTTAGTTTAAAACAAAAACATTATTGATAGCCTTATACACGACTAGTGGTCCTCTTACTGCAAAAAAGATATCATGTTGTGAAGAGTGAGATACTAGAGTATGAATCCTGACTTAAATCACTTAAGCCCTATGTTGTAACAATTTATTAAAATAAAGAGTTGTCTGGACTTGGCCCTGGTGGCTCAATTGGTAACAACACACTGGTTTCATAGTATTATTATGAGCTGGGGTCCTGAGTTCAAGCCTAAGTTAAGAAAGATTGCTTTTCAGCCATTTCTGATCATTTCAAAAGTATGAGGAGAAGCTAGCAATATTAGATTTGTTTTCCATGGATGTGATTAAGGTGTTCAAAGTTATTAGGAGTTTGAACACACTTCCAATGCAAGGTCTGTTTGATTGATGGATCGAAAAGCTAGAAAATACAAAGTTAAATGTTAGGAGTGACATGTTTTAGCTGTGAAAGCCTAAGAACTTAACATTTAACCCTCCATTAGTAGCATGGGGTCATTATGACCCTAAGCAATTTCTTTGATTAATTATTATGTGATAGGTGGCACTTTATTTAGCCCTGTCCACAGTAGCTTTCTTAATCATGTGTCTGTCCATGTTCAGTCTTCATCAGCATTCTGCAGCTGTAGGTTTTGCAAAGTTTTAGATTGGGGCCACATTTACCCCACGTGACTACTCAGGTTATAATTTTTTGCAAGGTCAGTTTGTTTTCCTGTGACTTTGATTTATTTGATTTTATGTATTTTTCTTTGTTTATGGCTAAAATTTAGATTTTTATTCCACATCTCTTCTTTTCTGACATTTCTCTGTTTAATCATTTGTTTTAGATGATATTTAATTACTTCTTGTACATCTTCATATTGCCATTTTGGCTTTTATTTTATACAGATAGCTAAAAATGGACTTACTGCCACTGCAATATGTTTTAATATCATAAGCCATAATGTAAGGCTTTCATTATTCTATTTTGCTTACAAATAAGGCTTTGCATTAGGATTATTTGACCATGCAACTAATTGAAGGCTAAGGAACAACAAAGGGTATGTTCATCCATCAAGGTTGTCTTACCCAAACTTGAAAGAAATCAAACTCAAATCCAGCCCTAATCATTTAAATTAATCAAGCCTACCCTAAAGTGTACTACAGTCACCATACTGAAGGCAACCCATTCCAAAGGCCAACTACCATGTTAGAAAAGTAAAACTGTCATATTAAACTTTGTTAAATTACTTTGCAGAATATTTGTTATCAAATTATCAAAACTAACTTGTGAGATTAGTAGGCCTATCATTACCTGAACAATCTTTACTACCTCCCTTCAAAAGAAGATAAACATTAGCCAACTTCCAATCCTCTGTCACCTGTTCACTATTCTAGGACTTGCATAAAATATTAGCAAGTGGCTCACATACCCAATCCTCAACCTCTTGTTTTTTTTTTATACATTATTTTTCGTCTGTAAAAGTTATAAACATGAGGAATAGGTAGCATAATAATGTGGCTTGATCAGTTACATGTAGTTACTGCACAAGCCACATCATCATACTTTTCACTCATTAAAAGTATACACAGAATTGTCAACACATTTTTCAGTCAGAAACACACTGTTCAATGGGCTTACATTATACATCTACAATAATAGTATATCTATTAACTATGAAAATATTTATTCAGTAGATTACCAAAGCTATTTTGATTGTAAATTTTAAGTAGTATAAATGTCAGAAGATGTTGATTTAAAACTATTTGAAGTAAATTTACCCTAAATTTATTTCAAAAATTCCTTGAGTGGAGAGTTATTTCTTCAAGAGTTAAGATAATGTTTATCATGCATTTTGGAATAATCTGTTAGTTAATTAACTCTTTTGGATAAACTTAGGAATGAGAATTATAGAACTGTATTTCTAAAATTAAAAAACAGGTTGAGTTATTCCAAAAAGAAAAAAAAATTACTTGAGTGTTTACTGCCAGAAATTTGACAACAGTCAAATTAAACTGCCTGTATGATAAGATTCATTCCAAGCTAACTACAAAAACAAAGTGCAAGCAACTACTACCTTGAAAATAAATTTTAGCTTTGTTGCTATGCCTGTACATGTATATGTAGGCAAGATATATATACATTTCTATATTAATCAACTTATAACATTTGCAATGTGTCAAGAGTATTTGTAATTTTAGATAATGTTACTATTTTTTTGTGTGATTCTATTAAGTTTTTTGACTGACAGAATTTTAGATTTGTTTTGAAATGTAACTTTATGGATTATTTAAACTACTCATTCCTAAAAAATATATTATGAAATTGTTTTGAAAAGACAATAAACACCATTAACACAATTTTTAACTTAAGGTAAGTGAATTTAAATTATATATTTGGGTTTACAGTAAAATTATACTATACAATAAAGTAACATTAATTTGTTTATACAGGGAGAAACAAAACTGAGACCACATCACAGACTGAGTACTCAAAACACACATTTCAGCAAAGGCAAGATTTTCTCTGTAACCCTTCATCCTCTAAAAGAAAGTCATGAATATACTAGTTCTTTAAGGTGATCCACTGAGAATGTTAATTCAGAAACAAAACATGATTGAAGTGTCAATGAAAATTTTTACCAGTGTTTTTATTGTTGGAAATATAGAATGGAGACTTAAGTTGATCCCTTTTTTTAAGTGGGGAGGAATTTTCCATAAAAAACATTCTATTTTTTTGCTGAACACAAAATAAATGTTATCAAAAAATATAAGATATTTCATGACAGTAAAGTTCCTTGTCCTGATGAAACTTATGTCCTTAAAAAGACTTAAAGGACAAACCGGAGATTTTAAACATTGTAGTTTCAAAGTTGCTAGACATTGAAAAATTCCTAATGACTGAAAGATTGCCAGAGTGATCCATATTTTTAAAAATAAAGTTTGAGGGAAAACCTGAGAAATTGCAGGCTCATTAATTTCACTCAAGTTTTTAACAAGGAACTATTTTTTATTTTATTTTAAAGGTAACCCAACTAATATTTTGTTCTTTTTTTTCCATTTTAAGAGAGCCTTCCATAAAGTCTGCATTCATAGGGCTGGTGTAAAATTTTATAGTAAAAAAACATTTGATATAGAAATTAAAGTGGGTGATAAACAACTATTCTTCTGCCCACAATAATATGACCACTCTAAAGTTTGGTTTGAGACCTTTGTTGCTCATTATTTACATCAATGCTTCAGCTTGTTTGTTTGGAATGTAATATCTTTAAAATAATCAGCTAATACTAAAATTTCAAAAAAAGAAATGATACTAATCAGAATATTTCTCTTATTCTGAAGAGCCTGGTCAGTCTAAGTGATTAGTGTACAAAAGGGGAAATAGTTTTAGTTAAGAGAACTTACTTCTTGATTCATGGATAAAGATGATTTATGTGTGATCACTGACAAAAGATTAAAATGTTCACTGAGTGTTTAGAAGTCACACATAAAAAGACAAATATTCCGTTTTCTTCTTAACACAGAAATAAATGAATGGTTTAAAATAGGTAAAACATTCCTAAATACTTTAATATTTAATTATTCTCAATTACTTATCTTTACATATTTAAGTCTAAATGTTATCCGTAACTTGTAAGTTTGAATTTGGGCATTTAAATGATATTATATAATTTTCAACTTAAAAGTACTTACCACTATAAAAAAGCTAAACATGAGGAGAAGATCCTTTGAAAGTTTGAGTTTGAATTGTAATACATTTAAAACCTGGATCTTAATATCTACATTAATATATTCTACACTACACCTAACTTTGTATTGTCAAGCAAATTGCATTACATTTTTTCAAAAATTATTGTGATGATCATAATAACTTGTTTAATAACATTATCAAACAATGTTGAACTAAACTTACCTTTTGCCAACCACCTAAGGCAGTTACATGATTGTAGAGAGAATACAGATTAATTTCTTTGCCATTTATCTGTGGTACATGGCGAAATTTTGTCCTGAAAAAAAAGTTGACTTGAAATGTACAAACCACAAAATTTTAATGACAAGTCACAAACAGTTAAAAGAAATTTTTACAAAGAATACAAATTTTTACGTCAAACTTATTTACCCTGCATTTTGATGGAACTGCCTTAGCCCGTTTATGAAGGCATTGTATTCCCTTGTGTTAATGTATGTCGAAGGTTCTCTATGCAACCTTTCCATGAGTGGTTTTTTTTTCACAACACTTTAAACGACGACTTGATTTAACGAACGGTAACCATGCGGTCATTAACTTGTTAGATATCACAGCGCACCCAAAATATGAGATTCGGAGCAAATATCTGCCACAGTTGCAGTTTGACTCACGTATACCTTAAACAACTCAGATGTGCGCGCGCTACGCGCCCAGCATTTGTTGACAAGCGGAGTCTGTCACCTAATCAATAGCTGCTTGGTATATGATACCTTGAAATTTTCTCAGCATAAAGTTAGACCCACAGCTAACTTCAACACCCCAATTCGACATTGTCAAAGTTAAAATATATGCAGTTATCTTAGTTTGTGGTATCATACGCTGCTTGACCCAAGCAACTTCATATTGCGCACTCATATAATATAACAAGTACTAACATTGTTCACAAGAAATTCAAGATGGCGGTTAATTCAGCGGGCATTCTTTTAATTTTATGGCAGCAGAGAGAGTTTAAGGCCTCCTCTGTAAAGCGATAAATATATGTACATATATGTATTTTTTATTGTACATGTAAATCGTTCACATATGATTTTCGAGAAGGCTTGTCGTTATAATACTTTTCAAAATAAGTTAAATTCTCGTGTCATTTTTAGTAAATTCTTCATGAGACAGGAAAGCATTAGATTTTTATGTGAGTACATAAAAATAATACATAACTAGCTGATAATATATATATATTTTAAAGTGCTAAGACTTTATTTCTAAAATAGTATTGAAGAATAATAATAAAACCAGTTTATTTCGTTTTGCGTGAATCGTATCACATCTTATAATTTATGTACGGAGCTTTCATCCGGTTTTTGATAAAATTTGTATTGACAAATAAGACCTTGAAAAATTGTTAAAGATATATATATAATCAAACTGTAGAAATTTAATTATTTTAAAATGCGCTATAAACAATGCAAGTCACTTTTTCTCACGCCATGATAACGTTAAAAGGTGTTTTTCATCTTAAAATAATCACAATTTTAACTATGTTCTATCTGACACGCTACCAAACTTGTTTACAACCTACAGTATACAGAAGCAAACGATTTCCTAAATATTAACTTTTTACAATTTAATTAAACTACGTGACAAATAAACAATATATTATAGTTGTGAGAGATTAAAAATAGAAAAGCACCAGAACCAGACAAGGTTTTCTCCAGGGTGTTGAAGGAGGTCGAAGATTATATATGCGAGCATCTCTCATTTTCTTTGGGTCAATAGATAGTGCACAGGTGCTTAAGAATTGGAGAGTTTATAATAGTACTCTTATTTTTAAAGTGGTGGATAAGCGTTGCACTGAAAATATTGGCCAGTTATTCTTACTTATGTAGCGGGAAAATGATAGAAGACCTAATAATAAGAAACTTTACATAATCATTAAGTGAGATATAATATCGTAAAAGAAAGCCAACATGGACTTACTAAATGAAAATCTTGCCTTACAATCTGTTTACTTTTTAGTATAATTTTTCTTGTTATTTGGACGGAGGAAGAGGGGCGTGGACTTTATATATTAGCTTTTCAAGAACTTTTAGATAAGGTACCACACAGAAGATTAGCTAATAAAATCACATAGCTAGGGCCCTCAGTAGCACAGCGGTATGTCTGCGGACTTACAACGCTAGAAACCGGATTTCGATACCCGTGATGGGCAGAGCACGAATAACCCTTTATGCAGCTTTGTGCTTAACAACAAACAAATTGATACAAATAACCACATAGCTAGGGGTTGGAAAATGTTAATTAATTGGATTGAAAAGTGGTTGGATGAGATCAAGTAAACTGTTATTAATGGAGTGCAGTCAAAATACACTCTTGTTACTAGTGGAGTTCTTCAGGAGTCAATGCTGGGGCACTTGCTTTCTTCTCATTTACGTTAATGATTTTGATAACAGCATAATTAGTAAATGAATAAAGTCTGTTGGTGACATTAAACGTTGGGGCATTTCTAGCTGTATTGAATATATTAAGGCACTACTGAGTGACTTGGACCAATTGGTAAGTTGGAAAAATATTTGGCAAATTACCTTTAATTATAGTATGTACAAGGTCATGTACTTGGACTATCATAATTTGAATCACATGTTTAATATAGTTGAGAACCCACTCAATAACATGACTGAAGATAAGGATCTTGAAATAGAGGTGAATAAGCTACTATAGCCATCAAAGTAGTGCTCTGTTTCTAGCAGTAAAGGTAATATAATTGTAAGGTGTCTTTGTAGATATACTGGTTACAAGTCAAAAGAGGTAATAATCTCTCAACATAAATCACTAATTAGAGCTCACTTAGAATACACTGAAGTACAGTTTGTCGCCTTGTCTATGAAATTATATTGGCTTATTGGAAATGGTTCAAAAGAAGGTTAATATGATGATCCCAAGGACATAAAGGTTGTTTTATAAAGATATAGTAAGATCTTTTAACTTATTTCCTCTTGAGAAAAGAAAAAGGTGGTTTTAATGAAGTTTACAAGATTATCTGCGGGTTGATAGGATAAAACCTCTGACTTACGTGTGCTATATTATGGAGAAAGTAAGATGAGAGGATTTAAGTTTAAGATTTTGAAAAAAACAGACTAGTTTCCAGTTAAGAAAAGTTGATTTTCTAACAGAATGATTAGCTTATGGTACAAGTTACCATTGGCAGCAGTGAGGGTGGGGATAAGTTCTTTTCAAGGGTTTAAGAGGTGAATCGATGATTTCCTGAAAAATAAGGGGTTGGTTAATTTCTAAGTGTTCACTTTAATCAAGGGTGGGCATGCACTGTCCCTATTATCTACAGTAGCGTAACTCGATCCTTAAAAAGATTAAACGTTAACTGAATGTAAGAACGGTAACAAATTGTTTAATTTGATAAACACACAATTTTTTAAAAGCACAATGTGACTAGCACCACTTTATAAAATTGAAGTATAAAATAATTCTGCTCAATTGTATCTAGTTATGAGGCACTTGAACAATTCTCACATGAATGTAAAGTGGTGAAATAGTTATTTAGATTACCAAAAACTTCAGTCCCTTAACCTTCAGAATTTGTATATAAGGTCTCTTCTTTGTATGAGATGCTTAGGTTTTTACTTCCTTTTCCTACGATAAAGCCTTATGAGTGTTTGAATCTGGCTCAGTATTGTGGTTATTTCAGTGTATGTTGCCACGTCTGGGCATGCTCTGTCTGACAACCATGCATTTTAAAAATAGCCCTATAGCATAGTTTCGATTTCTAAATGCTGTATCGTAGGGATGCCATGTCCAAAGCACATCCCTCTTCCCTACTGGCTTTCCATAAGCCATCTAATGTATAATGATGAGAGTTTCCCAATGCCTATTTGAACAGTCCGATTGCACAGAAATCCATAAGCGCTGCATCTGGTGACTTGATTGGTATGTCTTCATATAGAATAGCACAAATACCCATTTCATTCTCCATTTGCTCAAGTATGCGATGGTTGAACAGATATATCATAGAAGCAGCTTGTGTACACTTGACTTGTTTGTTTTCTCAGATAAAGATCCTTCTTGATTATGTTGCATATATTAATTTTTCTTCTGGCTACACATCAGGAAGATTGGTATATACCAACCAGACCATCATGCGTGATTTTGCGGAAAAGCACAACACAAATTCACGCTCATCTTACACAAAAGATCACAAGTTCGCTCGGGAAGTTTATATAGGTAAATAGCTACCAAAACTCACTATAAAACTAGAAAAAAAGGATTGCCAAGTCTTTTCAGGTTATTTGTCAAAATTTCAAGGCATTATTAACAGATAAATTCAATCATAACTTTCACCTAACGATCTAAGCTGTCCTAACTTTGTATTTAACGAGTTTCACGAGAACTGCTCCACAGAACATTTACCACAATTCAACTAGGCAGATAGAATAATTAATGTAAAACATCAGACTAAAGTATTGCTACCAAATATCGGCCACTATGCCAGAAAGTCGGGGTTTCAATGCCCTTTCACTTGTTGAAATTTCATTCAACCAACTGTACGAACTGTAAAATAATCAAATGGCGGTCACATAATATGCAGCATATACATTACATCATTAAATGTCACTTGAGCTTAGCTCAGAGAGCAAGGAACATCACTTCTTTTCAGTCATTGAGTTTTAATTCAACTGACTGTTCTAACTACTACCCAAGAAGTCAATCCCAGGCATAATTATTAGAAGGTCGGCATCAGTATCTTGACCAGTCATCAGTGATATACAAGTTAAGTTCATTGATTTGTTTGAAAGATGTATGCATGCCATAATACCACTGTATCTCATAATTTACTTCACTGAGCTGCCAACAGACAACATATAGACTAGTCCACAACCAGATCCGAGTTTTTTCTGTGTTGCAGGCATGTACAACATATATACCTATTCACGATGCTTGAACCTTCGTTCCACTATTATTTTGTCATAACATCTCTTTTGATGTACGCCAGTTTTATCCATCTGCTACTTTGTTAGCTCATGTGCATTGGCTGTTGCAGAACGCAGCCATAACAATATTCCTGTGACATTGCAGTACTTCTGCACTAGGTGGAGAGCCATTCATCAGAGCCATTGAGATTTGTACTTTATCTGTAAGCACCAGGAAAGTTGGTCTTAGATCTTCTTTCATCATTTAGTTCCACTTGCCCATACTCAGAAGCCAAGTCTAGAGTGTTGAATTAATGGGTGCCTTCCAATGCATTCATACATTCGTTTTTGTGTAGTGGCGTAAAGGTGAACACACTTTACCACGTTTACCCATCTGAAGTCCACACAGAACCTTGGTGTTCTTTCCTTTTTGATAATTACCATTGGAGATGACCAGGCACTCTCTGAAGGTTGTGTTACTCCATCCCTCACAATCCACTCAATTTCAGTGCTAACTATATCCCTAGTGCTCCAAGAAAGCCTGTGTGGCAATTGTTTATTAGATGCACATCTCTTGTATCTATGTTATGACGTGCTATTGTTGTCCAACCCAATAAGCCATCTGGTTTCAAGAACATATGTTTCTGTGTTGAATTAAGATTGTTCGCATAATTCTCAACTATAGACTAATAACTTCAGCAAGGGAAAACTTGTGAATATGCCTTTGTGTGCTGGTTCACTGTGCATACATTATTGTGAATAACATTGATAACATCTGCCTGTAAGGTAATACTAACCAATCAGCAATTTACATGATTATGCAATAGATGACATAATTTACGAGATATAATTGCAGCTGAGACAGCAACAACACCCTTTAAATAAGTAAACATCCATTTTTATCTTTATCATCAAAGGAGTGCGTATTATATGACGGTATACAAACAGACACTTAAATCTCTCGCACGAGCAATCTGAATTGTAAATCACAGTCAAACTGTGTGCAAACACCAGTAATATATGTT